CATATCATTATCAATAAGTTAATGGAACATCGGCAATTCTAAAAATATTTAGAGTAAAAAAATCATGTTTCCTTTTTCTCGTTCTAGACAACACTACAGTATATAATGTATACAATATATACCAGGACCGCTAGTGGCCATTATCAATATCAGATGTAATGTAACATAAAAATTACGTTGAAATGGTTTAGAGTGTAAGAATAATGTAATGTTTTTCTCTCGTTCCAGACAACACTGGAGTAACGTATATAATATACAAAACGTATTATCAGTCTTTATAAGTATTGAATTTGTGTTAAAAATTATCGTCATGTAAAAAATAGTACATAATATTTTCTCATTCTCTTTCTAGGCAACACCGCAGGAATTTCAACCGAATCTGTCAATGGTAAGGCATCAACGTGTTTCATTACCTAACAGATTGCAATTGAGAAAACAATAAAGCAATGAATTAAATTTCTAAATGATAATCATCATCATAATGATAGCAATGGTGATACTGATAATAGTAATGGAAATGATATTAATAATAACAATGATAATAATAATAATAAAAAATAATAATAATGATGATGATGATGATGATAATAATGATAATAATAAAGTAATGATAATAATAATATTAATAGCAACAACGACAAAATAAGAATGATGTTGACAATAATAATAATGATGATAATGATAATAAAGATGATAATGATAAAAATGATATATAATGATAGTAGTAGTAGTGGTAGCATAATAATATAATAATAAATAATAATATAATAATATATAATAATAATAATCAATAAAATAATAATAATAATAATAATAATAATAATAAATAATAATAATAATAATAAAATAATAAATAATATAATAATAATATAATAATAATAATAATAATAATAATAATAATAATAATAATAATAATAACACAACAATAATAATTAAATAATATAATAATAATAATAATAATAATAATGATAATGATAATAATATTGATAATGATAACGATAATGATAATAATAATAATAATGATGGTTATGATAATAATAATAATAACAATACTACTACTCTACTAGTAATAATAATGCTGATAATAGTAATAACAATAATAGTGATAATTGTAGTAATAATAACAGTAATAATAATAATGATAATAACAATGATAATAATAATGATAACAATGATGATAACGATGATAATGATAGTAATAATAATCATCATCATCATCATCGCCATTATCATCATCATCATTATCATCATCTTTAACAATGATAATGATATATACCAGGACTTTTAGTATTACAGTAACATATAAAATGTATATAATATATACAAGGACTTCTTATAGTGAAGTAACATATATGATATATATAATGTATACCAGAACTTCTAATGGCCATTATCGAAATTATTAATGATAACACCATCTAAAAAGTATATTAAAAATGTATAGCGTGTGAAAATAATACAGTGTTTATGGAGACAGCGGTACAGTATATAATACATACCAGACCTTTTAGCGCTCATTACCAATACCAATAATTGTTATTTAACAGAATTTAAGTTTAAATGCCTTGGAGTGTAAAAATGATATGTTTTATCTTTTTCTTCCTAGACATCACTGCAGGAGCGACGACGGAGCCTGCTGTTGGTAAGGCATCTCGTTTGTATTGTTAATCTAAAAAAAAAAAAAAAAAAAAAAAAAAAAAAAAAAAAAATATATATATATGTATGTATATGTATATATATATATATATATATATATATATATATATATATATATATATATAATATATATATGTATATATAATTGAGGAAACGAAAGAGAGTAACGGAGTGAATAATTCCATGGAAATGTAAATATAATACCAATGATAACAATATAATAGCAATGTAATGTGAATAATGATAATGATTAATGAAAATATAATTAAATAATTAATAACATTTATAACAATAAGGTGATAATAATGATAAATGATAATAATATTGATAATAATAATAATTATTATTATTATCATTATTATAATGATAATAATAACAATAATAATAATGATAATAATAAAACTAACAATAATAACAGTAATTATTTTAATAATAAAATTATAGAAATAAAACTAATAAGGATAGCATTAATAATGACAATGAAATAGGGATAATAATAATAATAATAATAATAATAATAATAACGATAATAATCGTAATTATCATGATACTGATAATAATAATAATTATGATAATAACAACAGCAATGAAATAATGATAATAATGATAATAATAAATAATAATAATATTGGTTATTGTTATAATCAATATTGATATTATAACAACATAATATTAATAACAGTGGTTATGTTAATAATGATAATGATAATAGTAATAAATAATAAAGATTATAATAATAGTAATGAAATGATATAATAATAGTATATACATCACGCAGCAGCATTATCATCCTGTGATACTAATGTATATAAAATAATGATAATAATAAAGATAATAATAATAT